CTATATAAGACTGGCACTTCTGCCTTTAGATAGGAGCTTCGTGCTCAACTTAGTTATCAATCTTATCATATTAGTTTGACATCTTTGATACAAGTAACGAGTTCACTTCCAAGTGAACAACCCGATAGTCTTCTTCTTATCATAGCATACCAACCAGCGAACACCCAGCCAAGTTTAGTTAGCCAGTTTGAGTATTCGTTACAACTTAGTCGTTTCGTTTTATTTTTTACTCCCTCCTGTCCCTACCTATAAGTATACTTAGTCGTTTTTTTATCCCTACCTATAACCTCTATATATACTTAATTTAAGTAAGTAATTCGAGCTATAAAAGTATAGAAATAAGTATAAAAATAAGTGTAGAAATAAGTAACGTGGTTTATCAGCGAGTCGATCATATCACCGAGTCGATCACTTTTCCTTGGCACTACCTCCTCAAACTTCAACACACGTTTTCTTCAACTATTTACCATGGAAATTCAAACTCAAGAAGCGCGAATTACTCTAGCTATTGAGGCTATTCGGTCGTCCAAAAAACTAAGCAAACGCTCTGCGGCAAAGATCTACAATGTACCATATACGACTCTTTCCGACAGAATGGCTGGCCGAACCTACCGCCCAGATTCTCAAGCCAATTGTCATAAGTTGACTGAGTTAGAAGAGGAAGTGATTATTCGGTATATACTGGATATGGATTCCAGAGGATTTGCGCCCCGGCTCGCTGGTGTAGAAGATATGGCTAATTTTATCCTTGAATCGCGGGGGGGAAGACGCGTCGGCAAGCTCTGGGCCCATCGATTCGTACAACGACAACCAGACCTTAAGACGCGTTTTAATCGCGTTTACGACTTCCAGAGGGCCTTATGCGAAGATCCTGACGTGCTAGGCGCATGGTTCCGGCTAGTAGAGAATATGAGGGCGAAATATGGGGTTACAGACTCCGACTTCTACAACTTCGACGAGACAGGCTTTATGATGGGTGTTATTTGTCCTAGAATGGTTGTTACTCGTGCAGACCGACGTGGTAGAGGCAAGGCAGTTCAGCCAGGCAATCGGGAATGGGCTACAGCAATTGCCTGTATTAATGGGGAGGGCTGGAGTATTCCTCCATTCTTGGTAGTTCAGGGCAAGAACCATCTCTCCAACTGGTATACCGACGGCGGCCTCCCACCTAACTGGGTTATGAAACCGACAAGCAATGGTTGGACAAATAATGAAACAGGCCTGGAATGGTTAAAGCACTTTGATAAACACACTACAGCTCGTGCAAAGGGTCTGTATCGAATACTAGTTTTGGATGGGCACGAGAGTCATGAATCGGCTGAGTTCCAAGACTACTGTACGAAACACAACATTATTACTCTTGGACTACCTCCTCATTCATCCCATCTAACCCAGCCACTTGATGTTGGGTGCTATAGTGTGTTAAAACGAGCGTATGGTCGGCAGATTGAGACGTTTATCAAGGCCCATATCAACCATATTACAAAGGTTGAGTTCTTTCTAGCCTTTACAGCAGCATACAAGGAAACAATGACAGTCCTAAACTGTCAGTCTGGATTCCGCGGAGCTGGCCTAGTACCATTTAACCCGCAAGCAGTGCTTTCAAAGCTTGACGTAAGGTTACGGACTCCAACTCCCCCTCGGACGTGTAGTGCCAACTCCCTCCCCTGGGTGTCCCAGACCCCTTCCAACCCAACTGAAGCCCTTTCACAATCAACTCTTGTACGAAATCGTATAGCCTGTCATCAAGGAAGCTCGCCAACTCCACTTTTTCAAACAGTTGCTGCGTTAGCAAAGGGTACAGAGCGAATGGCACATGAGATGACCCTTTTGTCTGCTGAGGTCCGTACCCTTCGCGCTGCAAATGAAGCCCTAAGTAAACGCCGTAGGGCTAAAAAGACTCG